TTCTCATCGCCTCAGCTCTCGGCTTCGGGAAAAGTGCTGAGTGTGTCTGTGTCTTAGGATACCCCACAGCTTCTACGCTAACTTCCGTCACATGCAAAGTGCCAAAAAATGGGGACAATTTTTGTTGAGGTCCATTGTTCAGGTCGGTTCCCATGTTCCCATGTCGGCGGCGATGAACCTTTGTGAGCGACGCTTTCGAGATTTCAAGTCGATTCCCGGTCGCAGCTCCATTGGGCAGGGCAAGGCTCCCATTCAGGTACCTAAGAGCTAGAAGTGCTGCGTATATCGTTGTAGCCCTTTGTCCTCTGCCACCCGCACACATCATGAGTCCAGTTGTTTCTTTATGCAAAATCCGACTATCTAGGTACCATCACTCATGATGACCGTCAGCATTGTAGGTAGGTAACCGACCCCCAACGCTCAGGAACGGGATTCGGTTTCGCCCCAGGGAACGGGCACGGGGCCGAGCGGTATGTATGTCCAATGGGTATGCAGCAGAAGACGGTCACTCGTAGCTTTCCTGTTGGGGCATAAGAAAAGACAGAAATGAGCTGGGCTGGTCGAAGCCTTTGTCGTTCGGCATAGGATACGGAAAGCATTCCTTAACACGAGACCAAGAGTAGGTGGGTAAGGGTGGTTACACGTCTATGTAGGTGACAGTGGCGATCATGTGAATTTGCCGCCCCTATGCGGCAGTATTCGTACGAATAGGTATGCTTGTCAACTGATGCCAGGCATCTCACACTATCAGGGACTATCGAGATCGCAGAAAAAAAAAGGAACCGAGAAAATGAGCAGAAAATGTTCGGCTCCTCTGACACCGCCCAAGCAGTAAAAGTTGTATTTACTTGGGCAGTTCTTATGGAACCGTAGCGGAATTCCTTCTTCTCCGCGTCTCGAAATCGCTAGTTCATCTACTGAAAACACGGTCGACTCGCGACAGAATGTCGGAGCCAGTTGTGCATAAGATGACCGCACTGTCTAAAAGGACGCGTTGGGAGAAGAAAAAGAAGAGAGAAATCTGCAAACTGACCGCAAAGAAGGTATTTTAGCAAAACCTGTATGGTGGGGCGCTGCTGAAGCTGCACGGGCCACCCACCTAGCAGCAGGACCCTTAAACACCCCACAACGGATCCAAGTTTGGCCTTGAACCGGCCCTGGCAAGGCTGTCCTTATCTGGCTTTGATCGTGCGAGATACGATAAGGACAGTCTCTGCTTACCTCATCCAGCCAGCATCAAAATCGAGTCGGCAGCGAACAGGACACAAAATGGTCTGTGCGCTTCAAGACAGCTGAGCATGACAGCAACCACCAAAAGCCATCACCACAGGGGCGCACTTACAGGGCTAGCTACAAAGTATCACTGGACCTCTCATATCTAATCAGCCTACCTTCGAAAAGAGCACCGATAACAGCATCGCAGACAGGATCTGCTGAATGACAAGGACAAAGACGAAACGACGACTATCTACTACCCGAAACGACACATCAATCCCTCCCTAATCAATCCATCTCTCAGCCCGCCTGACCGACTGAGGCAACGCGCGCCCTGAAAAGCGTTTGTTTGTGTCTATCTTCCTGGCACTCCTCATAGGCATTGCACTGCCTCTGATTTGTCCTCTATTAGCATCACGCCCTCACGAGCAGGGCAGAAATCAATAGCACCGACCTCATCATGGCGTCAGCAATCTTCTTTCTCGACCTCAAGGGCAAGACCCTCCTCGCCCGAAACTACCGTGGTGATATCCCCATGTCAGCCGTCGAAAAGTTCCCAGTCCTCCTTAGCGAAGCCGAAGAAGAGTCGTCCGCCGTTCCCCCTTGCTTCTCCCACGAAGGTATCAACTATCTCTACATCAGACACAACAACCTCTACCTGCTCGCCCTGACGAAACGAAATACCAATGCCGCCGAGATACTTCTATTTCTGCACAAGGTGGTCGAGGTGTTCACCGAGTACTTCAAGGCGCTCGAGGAGGAGTCGATCCGTGACAATTTTGTCATCATCTACGAGTTGCTCGATGAGATGATGGACTTTGGGTATCCCCAAACGACCGAGTCCAAGATTTTGCAGGAGTATATCACACAAGAGTCACACAAACTCGAGATTCAAGCCCGCCCGCCCATCGCTGTCACCAATGCGGTGTCGTGGCGCTCCGAGGGTATTCGCTACCGCAAGAACGAAGTGTTTTTGGACGTTGTCGAGTCCCTCAACCTGCTCGTATCGTCCAACGGGAACGTGCTGCGCTCCGAGATTCTGGGCGCCATCAAGATGAAGTGTTACCTATCGGGCATGCCCGAGCTGCGGTTGGGGCTCAACGACAAGGTGATGTTTGAGACGACGGGGAGAACGACACGAGGAAAGGCTATCGAGATGGAAGACGTCAAGTTTCACCAGTGCGTGCGCCTCTCTCGCTTCGAGAACGACCGAACCATCAGCTTTATCCCGCCCGATGGAGAGTTCGAGCTCATGTCGTACCGGCTCAACACCCAGGTCAAACCGCTGATCTGGGTCGAGTGCGTCGTGGAGTCGCACAGTGGCTCGCGCATCGAATACATGCTCAAGGCCCGGGCCCAGTTCAAGCGCCGCAGCACCGCCAACAACGTCGAGATTATCGTGCCCGTGCCCGACGATGCCGACACCCCGCGCTTCCGTACCAATGTCGGATCGGTGCACTATGCCCCCGAGCAGAGCGCCATCGTGTGGAAGATCAAGCAGTTTGGCGGCGGAAAAGAATTCCTCATGCGCGCCGAGCTGGGTCTACCAAGCGTCCGGGGTGATGACGAGCACGGAGGTGGCATGACAGGTGGCTTTGGCGGCAGCATGGGCGGTGTGGGGGCACCTGGTAAGGGTGCCAAGAGGCCAATTCAAGTCAAGTTTGAGATTCCCTACTTTACTACTAGTGGAATCCAAGTGCGCTATCTCAAGATCACGGAGCCTAAGGTATGTCCAGCTGTCCCCCCTTACCCTCTTCTTCCTGTGGGTTTTTTTTTGTTTTTCTAACAGGCCACCAGCTTCAATATCCTTCATTGCCATGGGTACGATACATCACGCAGTCAGGTGATATCGCCGTCAGGCTACCGGATGCTGTATGAGTTCGGACATCTCGAAAAGAAGACAGTGGGCGATATCGACATTAGAAGAGATATGGCACGGAGTCAGGAGAGGGGAAAAGAAACAACAGGTTCCATAACGGCATATTGGTTGTAATACACTTAATGAGCTGAAATTTTAGACCAGATCCAGCCCGAAAGAGAGAGAGAGAGAGAGAGGCATCGGAGTCGCCACACCTGGCGTGAAGCTTCACACACTTTGTGGTGCCTATACAGGACGGTGCCAATACCTACTCATGACCTCTGATGACTCTTCTTTTCTTTCCCTTGCCCTTGCCCGACCCGCCGCCGGTATTCATAACAGTAATCGTATGCACAAACCGCAGCTTTCCGCCTTCCACCCGAAACTCATGACTATCGGGGATTCCCGAGAAGCTCAAAAAGATGGAGACGGCGCCGACGGTTTCGTCAATGACATACCGCCTGTCGACAAGCGACACGCCGCTAGGGATGCCGACGTCGCACCGGTCATTGGGCCCGCCATTACCGGTGTAAGCACCTCCTTCGAGGCGGGCGCAGGGGCGGCCCCACGGCACCACGACGGTCTTGTTGCTAAAGATGTCGCAGTAAGCGTCACCGGCGGCCTTGATGACGGCCCGCGAGTCCCGCTGGGCTTCGGGAATCACGCCCCAGTCTTCCTTGCGGGCCCAGTTCAGGGTCCCCGTGGCGTTGAACAGCCAGTCGCCCGTGGTGGTGGAAAGCAAGTCGATTTTGGACACCTTGAGGTCGGTGAAGAAAAGTTGTACGCCAATGACATACGGCTTGCTCCCCGTGGCCGAGATGATCTCGGTGTAGGTTGCGCACTGGATTGTGTCCAGGCTGTGGCGAGAGTGGTCGACCTTGACGGCGCGTGACAGTGAGCCCGAGGTGAGGGCGGCCGCCTTGAAGTTCTCGTGGTATACTGCGTTGGAACTCACGGGGGCCAGGAGGGACGGGTTGCCGGCGGTTTGCGCAGCTACCAGGGTGTCGGCGGCGGCTTGTAGGAAGTCTCGGGTGCAGCCCGTGGCTCCCTGGGCTGAGATTCCCAGGGGCGCGACGGCCAGGAGAAGGCACGACGTCAGTGAATTCAGCATGTTTTTACTTCGGGGAGAAGCCTGGGATGGGTTTGTATAAGATACGGGAGGGGGGTGGCTGAAAAGGGAGGGAGGGCCCAGGAAGGAGTTTACCTTTCCAGGTCCCCTGCTTTCTCATATATATAGTTCCTGCAGCTTCAGCGATGAGCCGAGTCTGTGAAGTTGCGGTGGCTAATGTGGCGGACGGGTAAAATAAACAAATGAAGGGATTGTAGGTAGTACCCCTGAATTTCCCCAATAATGAGGCGCCGATATTGGATGAAGAGAGGAGTAGTCCCTTCGGCAGTTTGATTTCCTAGTTATGATTGGCAGGGAAGTTGTTGTACCAGGTTTCGGACATATAACCTGGGTGGTTCTTTGGGTGAATTTTGGCATGCAGCATGAGGCTATTGGCATTTGGATTCCGAGCCCTGCTGCATGTAAACACTCTGCAGTCATAAGATCTACCCAAGTGTGGAGTAGTATGATTCCATATCGTTTTTATTACATCTAGGTGAGGAGAGTATGTGCCTCCCTCACCTAGGTATGTACCAGATATTCGAGTTTATTATGTATTATGACACACGCCGTCAAACTACCGAGCTATGGTTACGCAGGTTCAGTCTTTGCGCTGCTTCTTCTCAAATGACGATGCCTTCAGTGTCTAAGGTAGGTTCTTGAACTACCCAGAGAGATCCCATTTCGCCGGTGGACAGTTGTTACACATGAAATGGCCTGAAGCAACGGAAGTTTGTGACAAACAGCACGGTCCCTACCTACCTCAGGTATTGATAAGCCACTTGTGCCTACGAAGAACATAAGAACAGCCAGGCAAACTCCCATATAGTGTAGTGGTTTAGCATTCCAGATTTTCAGTTCTTCTTCCTGACCATTCTGGCGACCCGGGTTCGAACCCCGGTATGGGAATTACTTTTGCTCACTTATTTTGATTTTCAATCTTTTTTATTTTTGCTATTGGGCCCAGTGGGTTGTGGTGTCTCTCTCTTTCTCTCTCTCTTGCCATACTATTTTAGCCCACAAACCCCCACCTCTCTCCCACTTTCTGCACACAATTTAGGGAAAAGATGGAGTTCATGATATTCTTGGCTATCGATCAACCCAATTCGAACCCCGTGTTTAAGTCGACCGTAATTGGTTGAATTCATCCTGCACATATCCGCCTGCGCTGTCAGCTCCCCTTTCTCTTCATGCTGCCTCACCTGGGACGTCGTACGACGTCTTCACAGATAAGTACCCGACTGTTTGCATACCACTGGCAATTGCTACATCGACAAGAGATGACTGGCTGATTATCTCTTAACCTAACTCCTACTGCCTTTCGGGTCATGTCTGGTGATACACAGAAGACCGGCACCTCATGCTCCCAACCCCGCGATCATCGATTTAGCTCACCATCTCGATCCGTTTAGTTGATCTCGGTTTGTACGACACCAATCTGCAGTCTATGGTTCGATATTACCGTCAGATGCTGGGACTGCATCACAACCACCGAGGGGCCAAGTGCCTCAATATCATATCTACCTGGTACCTTACCGCTGTCGCTTGCCTGACATCAGCAGGCATGTATGAACCGTCGCGTCGGGACAACAGCAATCTCTACTCTTTCTGGACGGTGTCGTGAACCTCCCACGTCACATGGCGCCAGCGCTGCAGGTCTTGGACTTGCCGTTCCAGTTGGGCACCGAGTTCATCCGACAGAGACGTTACACCAGACGCAACTTGCAAAGGCGACATGTAAGCCATAATATCTAAGGGAGCTCTGGAACGTAACCCCCACAGGCCTGCATCTTGGCTTCGGACGAAGACGGACATTGGACGTCGTTCTCATGGCGAGCATGATGGTTTTCTGGCGTCATCCCTATGCCGAAAGAAGCAATGCTAGCTTAGCATATATTTGACCGTCCGTTAAGCCTACCTGCAAGCTTGTAACACAACTCTACGCGTTCGACATCCTGGACAACATCGTCAGGCCTTGGTGCCCAATTCTGAGCACACTGTGGAGGTGTGCGCTTCCGCAACCGACTGAGAGGTATTCACCAGGTAACTGCGCGAGTCACCATACCTATAGTCTACGGAGTATATGAATAATGCGTGAGCATATCAGGATCTTGTTATATCGGGCTGTCAAGTACCGCGACCAACCGTCGTCGGCCATGTATAGCCGGCCAGCACTTGTGCTACTCCAAGTTTCTTGATTGCTTGTTCTCTCCCCTAGGACCAGAATAGGCTCAAGTCCAACAGGGATTAGTTGGGTAGCTGTCTCTTGGCACAGGCTGCTTCCTTGTGTATTCTCCTGCTCTCAAGACTGTAATATTGTCGTCATCCAATATTGGGGGTCATCTTCCCCCGGCGATGCCACTCCGAGGGCATGGAGACGTCTGGACGGCATCACCAAAACTGTGTGGGCCGGATACAGCACCACCACAAAAGCAAGAGAAAAATCGTATCACCGCAAGGAGATCGAATTCCAGGATGAACAGCAGACATGCAGCCAATCTTAAGAACTGGCACTTCGCGACCATCCGTCCATGAAGTTTCAGCCACTCAGAGCCCACCTCAATCTTTTCTCATGTCCACTGCCACTGCTGCCCAGCCAACCATTTGTTTCTCGATATATACTAGTTTGATTTTATTCATGTCAAAATCCAATCATTGATATTCTAGGCCTCCAGCTGCACAAACATGTGGGGGCCTAAGCATAATTACCGCAGAGCCAAACCATCACTGCCGAAGAAGACCAGAGGATGACTCCTCGCACCGGAAATCCCAAATCAATCAAACCGAAGACATCCTGGACAGGGTTCCAAGGAGGACTGGAAAAGACACCAGAAATCAATCCACAGGCTTGGCAGTCCCTTTCTCTAGCCCAACAATACTGCTTCCCTTGCAGCTTGATGTTGGTGTAGTATCGGAAGGGAGCATGTCGGGCATCCACATCTCCCCAGACGGTTCCAAACGCACGGAGACGGACTGAGACAAAGATATAAGATCTCTGTGATTTGTGATAGAACTTTGGAAAATGTGACAGACTGGAGATCTACCGACTGTGCCAAGCTGCATTTCCTGCCGGGGATCATTGATCAAATACATCCGAAGCCACTCATCAACAACACGCTATACCCACGTACCGGGTACTCCAATTATGATGAACCTCTTCGTAAGACATACTCCTTTGAGGCTCGGGTTACTTCTATGTGACTAATGGCAATCTAGGCAAAGGCTGGCTCTTCAAAACATAGCCATGGGCACAGATCCGGGTCTTCACGTAACCATGGCCATAAGCACCATTCGGAGCCGAAAGCCTCCACGAGCAACCTGGGCAGCACCAGCGTTGCCGTTTCGGTGGATGGCGTCCGCAGGCCTGAGGAACCTTCATTTCTGTTTGTCGTCAACGAGTTCAGTGTCAACTATGAGCCGCCCGTCCAGGGTATGCCCGCCCTGACGGACCAGTGGGCGAACCCTATGCCTCCGACTGACGCCGGTGCTTACGGAGACGAGCAGGTTGGACACGTCTTCCGTTATCGTAGCGGAGTCATCACGCCGGCGGTAGGATATCAATGGTGAGTTAGTTGGGCCATTCCGTGTGTCTGCTTCTTCTCCCTTCCGAGACCAGCGGGACTGATCATTATGGACGCAATATATAAACACCAGGTACCGACCGGCGTTGAATGACGAGGGATGCATAGTCCGGGTGGACCAAGCAGGCAACATCACAGGCTATCCCGTGTTTCACAATGCTCAAAGCATTTTCACATGCTCTTCTCACCTGCCCGTCATCGTCGGCGAGGGCGACGCCTCCCTTGGCCAGTCCTTTATGCGGCGCCTCTGTCGATGCGATGCCATATCCGAAAACACCCCCGGATTTGCGTGGTGCATCCTCCATTTCACGGAGAACGAACTTCTTCCTGGTGTCTCGCTTGTCACGGCCAACGGGCATGGTCGCCCAAACGTTGTGGGAAGCGCCCCGAGCTGGGTACCTTTCCTTGTACCCGGCGTCTACCAAAACACCCGTGCGACGACAGAGTCTGCCGGGCTGGCGGGACGAGTTGCTATTTTGATTGGGCTCATGGCACTTCACAGCCGACCAGGGAGGGCCAGCGATGTCTTCAACAATGGGAAATGGCAAGGCCATGAGTGGCGTGACCCGGGCCCATTTCGAGGTGAGCACTGGTTTTTGATCTTTCTAAACTTGGTTTGCTTGCTCAAACAGGAGGAAATCGAATAGTTCAGTGAGCGAATGCAACTGACACGTCCGTGCGACGATTCCCACCAGCTCCGAGACCAGATGAAAACCCTCGAGGCCTTCTGGTGTACGTCTGTTATGATAACCTGATCAACGGGCAGGACGACTCGGAAGAGAACAACATCTCAACCGAGGCTTGCAGACAAATGATGGAAACTCTGGAGTGGTGCAGTGTGTTGGTCAGGGGCTGATGATGTTCTCTTTTTGCTGTTCACCATTTCAAATGACATTCAATGCCATGCATCTCAGGAAGTACCAGCGTTTGAAATTTTGAGCAGATCCAATCTTGATGTTTTCAGCTAAGGTATACGGCTTATCAAACTTGACTTGATCAGGTCTTGTCTCTCCCCATGAGCAATGTCCGGAGTACAGGCATAGAGACAGCCATGATGGTAATGGCGCTCTCTGCTGTGCCCAGGATCATGAGTACCACCACATGCTCTGTGAGTCAGTCAATTTAGGTCAGTAAATTCCCCTCGTGTGAACAATGCAAGCCCGAACTTGCACATACCTGGTCCTGCTGCTATTCGGTTGATGTTGTAAATGGCAAATATTTTCATGAAAGAGGTTGCCCCTGCGCTGTACGCATGTGATGAATCCCATCAGCAGAAGGTCGCGAGACGATGTTTGCAATTGAAGTTCAAACTCACAAGATTCCCATTCCCATTGCAACCACAATCCCAATCTTTTCATCTCTCTGAATTCGTAGGGGGTAAAAGATCTTACAGGGCAGCATGGCCAAGGTGATGTCCATGAGCCCAGAATATGCTTCAATCAACCATTTCGAAAACAGGTGTCAGTATCCTTCGTTTCAATCATGACAACAACAAGGGGTCAGAATCTCTGACATACCGGCAACGAACATATTGTACCCGTTCACGATTCCCAAACGAAGACACTGACCAGGAAGCCATTGGCGCCAGAGCTTGTCCAAAGGCCAGCACTGGGCCCACTGGAACACGCCACTGGCAGCAATGGCCAGATTAGTCGACCAGATGGCGAACCAAATCATGCCTCTGACACTGAAGCATTTCTTCGTCGGAATGGTCAGCCGGAGCAGCGTCAGGGCAAAGGAAGTCTTGCTCCACGCAGCAGCTAGCACGAGAAAAAAGCCTGCGACGACCGAGACCAGGCGGGTCATGTCGAGGATGTCTTGCGAGGTCACGTCGGCATCACGCTGACCGAACCCGAAATGGGTATCCACGGACTGGAGGATGCAGGAGAGGAGCAAGCATATCTTTTTTGGGGAGAGGGGTTACAGTGAGATATAGTCAGCCAGAGACAGGCGGTCGAAATGCAGTGTCATGTAGGTGATTTGCTTGTAGTACGCACCCAAGCTGCAATAAGAATGCCGTCGTCCCACCAGAGCTTTCGTCCTCGTTGGTGCTTACCCCATATCCTCAATCCCAGAAAGGACCCGGAGGAGGCAGCAAGGATCCATATCGTGATATTGAGAACAGGGCGGAAGTCTGGCTCAGAGTCCTTCATCGCCATGACTGATTTTTTGAATAAGGTACTTGAGCAGAATTAAAAGCAGTTGTTATCGTCGAAAAGAAAACAAGAGAGAAAAAAGAAGACATGATGATAATGGTGACTTGATGGCATGGATGGCCGCCGACTGATAAATGCAGAAAATAAATATCTGGTTGCGCAGAAATCAAGC